CACATAAGTTAACATTAGAATGGATTGGTCCTTCATTTTCAGTTACAAGAGCTTTCTAGAGGTTTGATATTCATTTGAAAAGGCAGTTTTAAGTGATGTGGCCTCTTTCACCACAATTATAATAAACAATGTTAAAGATGTGACAAAAATTAGGTGATTTTTTAGAGGGGATGAGGGTAAAAATTTTAAAATTATATATAAAGACCTGATCAAAATATATATTAAGAGAGGGAGAGGAGGTAAGCTTCTAATAAAAAAAATCAGATAATAAATGACACTGCTCTTACCATTGTTTGCTGGGCGAGGCTGATGAGGTCTATTTTAGTTATTTTGGGGCTTGGCAGGACAACTTTCGATTTTAGCAGCAAGGGCGGTAGTTAATCACTTACAATTGGTCACCATTTGTTGCATTTGCTAGATTAGATTATCCATCAGCTTGTTGGTAACCTCATTCTTGCTTTCTTTATTTTTATAATAGGTTCTAGCTTCGATCTTTCAGGCTTTAGCAATTGCATCATTCAGCTTTTTAAAGTCTTCTAAAAACATTAGCACGGCCATCTTATCACAAGTCCTCCCAGAAATATTCTAACTATGTAGGTTACTGGTAGTTGTCCATTGGGTCACCTTTCTTCAACAATCATTTGAACTAGTAGGCGTAATGATCAACTATTTCATTATCTTTTTGTTTCAATATATTTAACTCAACTGCCACTGATGTTTACACTTCGCAGTTACAAAATATTTGATGAAAGCTTGAATGAAGCTATGGTCTACATGGGTTTTTATCATCCCAAAAAAAAAAATCGTCTTTATTGTCATTATACCAACTAGTGGCAATTCCTGACAAGTGGCCTGACATGATTTTAATCTTTTTCGCTAAGGTCCAATTGTTGACATTGGCAGCTCTTTCGAAGGCCTTGATCCATTTGACTGGATCCTCATCCTCTTTACCCTTGAAGGTTTTAACATGAACCCAGTGATTTTCATGACTAACCAGAGGAACATTATTCATGGTGACTTCTTTGAAGGCTTGGACTATCTCTCTAAGAAGGTCATGGGCCTAAGTTTGTTGTGCAGGTTGATCATCTTGGTCTTGGGGCCCATTTTCATCAATAATTCAATTATCTTCAAATAATAAATCTTCTATGATTTCAGATAAGTTTTTTTTTTTTTTTGACAATTAATTGGTTTGATTTGTTTGGATTTTGTATTTAATATTGAAAATGTATTAATTTAAGTTATAAAAAGGGGTTTAAATATGAGTTGATTAGGGCAGTCCTATTTCACAGTCACCACCAAATGTAAAAGGGTAAAATTTGCTGGGCCGATAATAACCAAACTACTAATAATAATTTGAATACTTTAACCAGAACACTAAAATTAATTTAGCCAAACCCTAATAACAGTAAGGCAATGATCAAGGCATGGAAAGACTTGGTCCGAGTAACCAGGGTTAATTGGGTTTCTAGTAATAGTGCTGGGTTCAGATAAGTCTTCGTTGGGTGGTTTAGTCGCTATTCTTTCTACTTTACTAACACTTGGCTTCTTTTGTTGGCAGGTGCTGCGGCTGGGTCTTGTGATCAAAACTAGCCAATCGGAGATGTGGTACAAGATCACGGTATCACAAGATCACGAATCAGGTAAAATGATGTTGATCACAGACTAATTCAGGATCGATTTTAATATATAAGGGGTAGATTACTAATACAATGGATTTCTTTTACTAATTTCGACAATGGGCACATAGACAATAATTTACGAAATCAACGAACAATTTTTAATGAAAAGGGCACAACAGTTTATAAACAAACGCTTCTACTCAAATTTCGAAGGTTTACTTGGAACTATTCGATTTGAACTTTAGAAAGTTAATTTTTATTCAAGCATTAAGGCGAGTCTTTTTATATTCTTTTGTAATTATTGGTACATAAGCCTATGTTCGCTATGTTAACTATGTTGCATATGTTCGCTATGTTCACTATGTAAACATGTTCACTATGTTCACCATGTTCCTTATGTACACTATATGGAACATGTTCACTATGTTCACCATGTTCCTTATGTACACTATGTACAAGTTTTTGTCTATTTGGGGTAACGATTGCCTTTTCGGTTGGGGTTAATTCGGTACTAACACTAACTATAAAATTGATACATTTTTACTAAAAAGGAAACTACAAATCAAAGAAAAACTATGAAATAGAATAATAGAAAAAAAAATAAAAATAAAAATAAAAATTGGTGTACTAGGGTCGCCGGGCTCTTCACAACGTACAACATGTGAAATCATAATGATTCAATGTCCAATCAAATACAAGATTTTGCGAACACGGCATTCTAGATGGCAGTTAACCATACACTCCGTCATTTGCATGACTACGTTCCTGGTATTTTTAAACTTTTAATAAATCTTTCTTATTCTAATTTAATATGTAGGTTTAAAACATCAAAGTTGCAAAGTTATATCGTGTGACCGTTATGTTATATTATTCATATTTTTCATATCTTATACTCTCTATCATTCTATTTATTATTATGTGATATAATGCTTATGATACATTTCACCATTTTAGCTACACAACATATCTTATACTACATGTACTAACAATATTAAACACGTAAAAATATACTAAAATAGTGATATTAATTAATTATTATAACGTAATGTCGTAATTTTTTATAAATGAAAAATCCTAGAATCCCCACTACAATAATAATGGCAACTGCTATACCAATGCCAATCTTCTGTCCTAATGAAATTGAATCGTTATAATTATTCACGTTTGTTAAATTAGATCCATATATATTTGATGCATTGAAAGTATTAACCCATGTAAAATCTTGTAAATTAAAGACATATAGGTTGTTATTCAACAATCGTGATGATATTGGCTGTGGTTGTGAAGGAACAACTACACCTAAATGTATAGTAAATTAAATAATTAAATAGAAAGTTTATTAGTAAAATTAGTATTTCATCTAAAACATAATAGAAAAATTAATAAACAGTAGTGACCACAAATTTTTTTTATATTCAGATTCATTCAGAACACTAAGCAAGATATTTTATTCCAATTTAAAAACATTATAATTACCAAATGCAACGATCATATATATCCCATATAATGTTGCTGAGTGATCCATAAGCGCTTGTGGTGCTTTAGCTGTAATAGCTGTCCATTTATATGGTGTAACACTTGTATTTAATATAGCAATATCGGGTTGTACTTGGCTTCCTGATATTTGTGATCCACCATAAATGATAATAAGTCCATCTTGAGCTATTCAAAAATGCGTTATATCGCATAATATAATATAATATATAATAATGACTAATAATATTGTTAAATCATTTACTTATAATAGCTGAATGCCCAAAACGATTCTGAATCGAATCGCCACGAGTCGCCTAAAAACAAAAGTAAGTTATTGTTATGTTCTTTTAGGTTAATACACACATACGTACCATATATGACCATTTTAAAGTCACTGTATCAAATGCTGGAATCTATTTGATTTGGTTTATTTCATTAATATACAATATATAATTTGGAATTTTCAAATTATTCATACCTCATCCAGATACGGAGTATTACTTACACTACCGATACATAGTATAAGATTATCCTTCGATATAGCACATGCACCAGTAGGAGTATTTTTAAGTGGGATATTGGACAAATTTAATGTTGACCAATTCATCGTTGTTATGTCAAAAATATTAATGTCATTATATAAAGTTGAGTTGTTTGTTATTGTTAAGTTTGTTTGATATCCTCCATAGAAGTAATACCTTCCATTACTATCTGTAACGCCCATCATGTTTGTGCGCCCTATGAATGTTTTATTGAAATTATAAATAACTGGAGTCGTCCATTGTAAATTATTGAAATTAAATGCATAAACAGATGATGGTGGAAACATAAGGATTGAAGCATTTAGCCAGTTCTGTGACATTCCACCTACTAAGTAAACATTGGACCCGTCAATAGAGAGACATGGTATATGGCACCATAAAGTAGAATTGGAATTGGAACATTTAGTTGATTCCAGGGTGGTGTGAGTATTTTGACAAATCAAGATTCAATATTTGGTCAGTAAACCTCGGGTTCATGGTATTACCTCCAAAAAAGTAAAGTTTAGTCCCAACTAATATACTAGACTGTCCAACTCGACCATCAGGCATAAAACATGTCACACTTATGAATGCTAAACTAAAAGCTATTAGTGAAAAAAACAATGATTGAAAAGGGTTTATTTCATACATATTGAATCCGATGGTACTTTACGAACACGCATACGTACGTAAGTACGTACATGCATATATAGATAACTTTTATGTGTTGTAAGTGGAAATGTAATTTAAGAGGATTTGAATTTCTTAATAAAACTATAATTTAGGCTAGAATTTATTTTGTATGAAAATAACCTTAAAATCCTAAAAAATTCCAATTCCATTCTCATTATAACATATTAAATACCTGGTATCACAAATATTGTATATCAAATTTTACCAGAAACTGGTGTATATGTCATATGCCGAAATTCCAAACGCAACCTAAGCGATACAAAATCTAACAGCAACTTATTAAATAATAATCGTCAATATAATTTTTTTTCTCTTTTTATTTTTATTTATCGCTCTTTACCAGTGGTGCATATATTGTACTCGGAATGTTTATCCGATAGGAATTGGAACTAGTGCTCCTAACGGGTTTGATCTGAACGACCCTAAACTGATCTGGTTATAGTAAATTTAGTATATGGGTCATGACCCATATAATAAATTTATTATAGCCAGATCAGTTTAGGGTCGTTCAGATCAAATCCGTTAGGAGCAATATTTATAACTCAACATAGTAAAATGCTCTACTTATTTTCGAAATGTGTCACTTATAGTATATGCTGACTGCCTTCTATAAAGATTCTTTCTAAACTCTGAAATTCACTTATAGTATACACAGATTGCCTTCTATATAGATTCTTTCTAAACTCTGAAAATGTCTACTTCTAACATTCTAACTCATGATCCTAATGATAAAACTTACGACCCTAATGATGAAACTTGTGACCCTGATGATAAAACTCCCTGGTGTTCTTCTTGCAGAAAATTCAAATCAGTTATTGAATTTATGAGACCCAGTGGAAGAAGAATTAAGAAGTTTGCTACATGTAATGATTGTGCTGAAAAAGACAGAATATGTAAAAAAGGAAAATAACAAAGAGACATATCACCTGATGGTAGAACATCTGCTGATACAAGTGACAGCAAAAGTAGTAAGGATGACTTGATTTATAATTTAAGTGATCTCAAAGAGCTTATAGCAATCAAATTTAGAGAAGGTGAAGAATTAGATGCTAATTTTGAGTTTACTGTAATGGTAGATATTGAAAAAGAAACAGTAGATAAAGATACTTTGTCTCTAGAATCTGGCCAAGATATGGAAACCAAAAAATTTCATACTATAGCAAAGATGTTGCTTATACCTCTTCAAAAAGGATCCAATACTATTAGAAGATTCGAAATATATATTCTAATATAAAGCATGATTAATATATAAGGTGCACAACAGCTCATCTATGCTGTACCCAAAGATTAGAATCTGCTAAGATTTTTTGTCAACAGTAAGACCATATGATTTTAATTTTTAGATCTCATAAAATTTTAAAAATACCTAATAATGTGGTTTTTAATTTTATCTTCAAAAAATTTTATATAAAAAACATATAAAATTTTTTTATAAACATCTAAAAAAAACTCTACCCAGATAGTACAGTCAGACCTCTCTAAATCCAATCTTCTAAATTAATTCCTCTCTAAATACAACCTTTATCACTGGTCCAAAACATATACATTTGATCCCTATAAATAGTAATCTTGACTAATAGTGAAAAAATCAGCTAAAAGCAAATAATCAGCTTAGCAGCTAATTTTTTTAAAATTAGCTAATTGATTTTATTACTAGGATTGAATATAAATAAGGTTGAGGTTAAAAGTTTTTAGTAAAGTTCAAATTAAATAGTGTAATTTTAAAATCAGCTAAGCTGATAATTTTATTAGCTTAGTCATAGCTGAACAATTTTGATGGCTAAAATTACTATCTATAAGTTATATTTAGATAATCTGACTGTTAATATAATTGCAAAATTTGACTAGCTGGATTATGAGATCCAATTAAGTTTGTATAGCCTAAACTAAAAAAAAATTAATTAATTAGTTATAACTAACTCAATTATTTTTAAAATTATATTATTAAAGAGCAGATTGTGAATATAAAAGCTCAAATAACTAACCTGCAAAACATATAAGCGAAGTACAGCCTGCTATTCAATGTTTTTATATAAAGGAGTTATAAAAATTGAAATAGATTTATGTGAATGGAAAGCAATAATATCTGTGAAATATTTAGCCCATGAATGTCCTATATATAGAGAAACAAGATTACCTGACAATGCCATAATATAGATACAACAAAATATTAATAATATTTCATGAAAAATCAAGTTCTATAAATGGCTTTGTAATGAGAATTTGCTTAACCCATCAATACACACTTATTACCAAGTATATTATTGGGTAAACAAATTCTCAATAAATCAATATATAACTAATGTTGAAAATCAGCTAAATTCTACCAAGAATTTTTTAGAACAAAGAGAGTTAATAGATGAGGGGTACAAAATTATTTTGTACTATGAGAATGAGTTTATGCACACACTTGGCTTTACCACACCATTTCTTCAAGCTCAAGAAAATATCACCTAAATCAATGTTGACTCAATATTTAAAACAAACCAAGAGCAGTTTGAACTTTTTGTTGTGAATATTAATTGCAGTAGATATGGTGTTCCTCTTGCATACCTATATTTAGATACATATACTGTATCAGGAGAAAGGCACTCAAATTCAAGGTATATATCATATATTAAAAATAAGTTTTAAAATTAAAATTTTAAATTTAAATTTAAAAATTAAAATTTCAGTAATAAAGTATATTCAAGAGCTGTATACTTACAGAATTTTTTAAAAGTTTGTGTAATGAACATGTTTTACCTATCTTCATGCTGCTTGACAAAAATGCTAGAGAGATCGCAGCTGTTCATGATGCTTGGTCTCAAACTACAGTAATTTACCTTTGCCTTTGGCATATAAAATGTGCAATTAGATGCAAATTAAAAAAAAACAAAAGTTAGGTAAATATAAGTTAATTAAATAATTTAAACCCTTTTTTTTTATTATTTGGGGTCTTTGCCTTGAAAATTACCTTCTGATATTTCTGATCAGGTTAATTCAGACAAAAATAATTCTGAATACTAGTTCATATCATATGTTAATCACCTTTTAACTTTATTGATTCAATAGTTTATTAAATCAACATATGAATATAAACTGGTACTCAGGTTTATTTTTGTTTTAATTAACTTAGTCTAAAATGTCAGAAGGTGTTTTTCAAGGCAAATACCCCATTGTTTTTTTTTTGTTTTTTGTGTTTTTCCTTTTATTTCTCTCTTTTTTTTTGGTTTTGTATTTTTTTTTTATTTTTATTTTTTTTTAATTTTGTATAAAATCTAAGAAAAAGTCAGTACACAGTGCAGAAAGCAAGCAAAGCACATTCTCAATTTAATTTCATTAGCTCTACGTTGATTCTCATAGATCAGCAGAGTAATGTGTATTCAAAAAATGTTAAGAAAAGATATTAAGAATAGTTACAAGGCATTTAATATTACATCCCTCATACTAGTAGATAAAGATGTTTTTTTATTGCAGAAGAAATTCGGTATTAAAGTGTATTCAAAGCTTATCAATACTGTTATCAAAATAATCTTAATAAGCTATGGAGATATTTGTAGACAAACTGGTATGATATAAAAAATTGAAGTTTGTTTGCATATTCATCCTATTCAAAGACAATACCTATTGCCAGAACTACAATGATGTAGAGTCTCACTAGTGTAGCCTTAAATACAATTATAAATATAATTGTAATAGGCCATGCCTAGATTGTCTAACACAGATTATCTATAAAATATTAAGGAGCTATGGTATGATAAAACATAGGAGATAAACAAGTAATTTAATTGGCCCGCATCGCGCATACATATTATCATAAAACACCGTATAAGGTATGCCTCTTGATTTGTACCCCACTTGATTTGTACTAGGTATGTTTCAAGGTCATTGATGCGGTATTTTGTAAGATAGCCTGTGTAACTTATTTATACAGTTTAAAGTACTTTTTGAGAACATATCATTTCACTAACAAAAAATCACCACAAATGCCATTTCTAACTTCAAAAGAATGTCTACGTATATACACTATGCAAAATAATCTAAAAATAATCAGCATTCTCAAGAACTTTACTTAGAAGCGAAAGTTTTCATAATTTATTACTATTACTATCTAAGCAGAGACGTGAATCAGAGATCAAGGAATTTGATCACCACAATTTTAGGTATAAAAGCGCTTTAGAAATGAGAGAAGCAGTGATCTTAGCTATTTTCATCAAAGCTTGCTCTGAGAACTGCTTCCTAAAGAAATTGCTGAACTCCTTCATCACTCTCTATATTAACTATATACAAGTATTGAATGCGGAAAAATATTTGAATAAAAAGAACGAACAAGATGTTTAAGGTAATTTAGATTTTGAAAAAAAAAACTTTTACAAGCTGTTAACTTATCTTATTTAAATTTGAAATACTTCTTTTAATAGTCTTAATACTTATATTACTTTAATATTGTGTAGATTTTATTAAGGAAATATAATTGGCCAGAGCGAAGCGACGGACCTATACTTCTATGTGCTTTGATGACCGAAATTACTATTTTGATGCATCTATAATAAAAATA